TACGTTCCAAAGAAGCTTCCTGATTCTGTTTATTCGCATGATATAGTGTTAGTTAAAACCCTTTTTATTATGCACTAGTACCTAAAAGATTATATACTTTTATTCTTACTGTGAAATAATATATATCATATAATGATAGAAAAAATACAGACACTATCTTTCTATATTCATTAATTACATTGAACTTGATCATTAATCGCTGACAACTAAGAGTATTGATAATATAGTATTTGGTTACTTTATACATTTGCTTGGCTGTTGTGACATTTGTTTCTTTTAATGCTATTTTATAATATTTGTTCATATAGTGAAAAGGTAGATCTACTTTATTGTCAAGATTACACTTCCTTAAGTAATATGCGAGACTACTTTTTTTAGCTTTAGAATAGAATCCTTTAAAATAAGGCTGAATATCAATAGCCATATAGCCAGAATTTTAAGATATTTTAAATGAAAATTTCTATCATTTACTTTTATTATATTATATCAATATTCTTATTTTATAATTTTTTTTAGGCTTGATAGCTTGAATGACATATGATTGAATATCTATTTGAGAACTTCTAATTTATTAGCTTTTTTACAATAAATTTCCAGTAGTATTGTGAATAATTAAAGCCTATTTATATATCTAGAGCTAAGAGTTTTTAACATAACGTGAATGCTTTTAGTAAATTGATTTGAGATTCACATAAAATTGTAATCTATCTCAAGTTTGATACTGTTTAACATTAGCAAAATAGATTTGTTTTAATAGTTTGAAATTATCTTTTTAATGAACTGTCATACAAATCATAAACATAATATCTTCTTCATATTTTGCATTAAGCATTTCATCTATTTTTTGTGAACTATATATTTTGATATCTCACATGAGAATAAGAGTGCAATTCTGTGAAAGCGTAGAGAAAAATAATGGATTATTATAATCATCTTTACTTATTGGATTGTAATTATTCAGATATTTAAAAGAGATAAATACTTTCTAAATGTGTTTATATAAATAATTACTTAATACTGTTTAACTCAAATAAGGTAATCTTTCTTCACAGGTTACTATACAGTAATAATACTGGCAGTTTAGATCATTTGAGGCTATATATATTTCAACAGTACAGATTACTTTTAATACATTATACTGGTCATAGTAGTTTCATGTTCTCACACAGATAGATGATTTCTTTTTTGTATGGTATCCTTGAAGTGAATAAGTGCTAATAATCTCAATCCTAAACTTTGATGTGCTATTAAGAATATTAGATAGTATCCTTACTAATTTAGTCTTAAATATAAATAACGGAATCTCTTCAGGAACTTTAACATCAAAGAAAGGTCAGATATTTGTAATATTTATAACTACCTTTTGCTTATTAATTAAGCAACCATTAATGTGTAAAATATAGTAAAGATTCTATTTATATATTTGGTATTATCACAAACTTCAGTAGACATGAAGTGTATGGGTTACTTGCTAGATAGGCTTTGTTAAAGTATAGCAGTTATCCTATTATCATATTCTGCTATAATCTCATTACGTGATAGAATGCTAGCTAAAAATCAGACACTGTTATAGCGGATAAGAGTTTCGTGATCAGTTTAGTCAAAATTAGTTAGTGTATGCATGATATTAGTTTGAAAAGTTAAACTATCTCTATAAAATTCAGAAATGTTTAATTTATTTTTTCAGAGAGTGTAGAAAGAAGCTATAGTAAACTTAGTCAGCAAATTGAAAATGAAAGATATACAGATATATATCAAAGTGTAGGCTTCTTCATAATATATTATATAAATATTAGAAGAAGCTTACACTTTTCTAGATATGTACTTGGATATATCATCTAAAATAGGTAAATACATAATCTATTATATAAAATATTGGGAGAAGTCTTCATCTCAATGGTATGTATTTAGATATGATAGAGCTTTTTTAGCATAAATTTTATGCTTTAATGGATGCAAAAAGAAATGATAGTGAATTTAGTAGGTAAAACATAAAAGAAAGGTAACTAAATATGTGAAAGCTTCTCTGTAATTATTATATAAAATATTGGGAGAAGCCTTCATCTCAATGGTATATATTTAAGTATGATAAAGGCTTTTTTAGCATAAATTTTATGTCTTGATAGATGCAATAAAGAAGTAATAGCAAACTTAGTCAACAAATCATAAATAAAAAGGAAACAGATATATATCTAAAAGTAAAGTCTTCTTCAGAATTATTATATAAAAAATTGGAAGAAGACCTTATCTTTCTAGATATATACTTGGGTATAGTATAAATAGACTGGCTATAATAATATATATTACATCTTTAACTTCGAACACAAAATTGGCATATATATACTAGCGTAATAGTTAGATTATAGAATGACATACTTTTAGCAATTATTTAATTTTGGCCAATACTATTTCATAATTTCAGCCAGATTTTTAGACATAATAATTCAGCATCTAAGCTGATAAACTAATAGAAACCTTTCTAGCATCCTGGCAGTTTTTCACTAGTTCTATGACAGTTTCAGAATACTATCAGGTCACTACCATAGTATCAAGCTGGATTTTTAAATTACATGTTCTAATGATCAGCTAGAATTAAGACATATTGTTGACTGAAATTAATTACAAATTTACTGTATCATCTGTCACCTTTTTTTTCACTATTTTAGCATTTAGAAAAGTAATTAAATAGGCGTAAATTCTTAATAAAAAACTAGTATCTAAACTAATATAGAAGGCCAGTACCCTTATTATAGAACTAGATATTCAAAGAAGACTGGAAAGCCAAAATTAACAATATAGATTTTATTATGTAAACAGATTAGAAATAAGAAGAAAATAATCATTATTAGATCATGATATCATCATTAAATTAAAACATTATTAGTCACTATTAGACTATAAAGTTACCATCATATTATACGAGAAACAGATGAAACAATATTATAAATACAAAGGAGTTATCCATATGTAGGTTATGAAGTCATCATTGAAGTATGAATAGTAGGTTATGAAGTTATTATTAGATCATGAAATTAGATTATGATATCACTGTTATATTATAAAGTTGTTATTATATTATGAAGTTACCAATAGACTATAAAGTTACTGACAAACTATGAAGTTATTATTATATTTTGAAGTTACCATTATATTATAAAGTTACTGGTAGACTATAAAGTTACCATTATATTATGAAGTCATCAGTAGATTATAAAGTTACTTTCATAACTAGGCTAAGTCATATAGAAGGATTTCTAGAAAAATCAGGTTCTGAGAAATTTTTCACTTAAATTAAGAGCTTAATACATTTTAATTTAATAACATCAAAAATTAAAATATAATAAAATTTTTAATTTTGTTAAAAAATTCCCAGAACCTGATTTTCCTAGTAATCAACCCATATGTAACTTCATAACATAATTATATTATGAAGTCATATATGACTAATGATAATTTTATTTAACATTTTATTAAAATATTTAACTAAATTAAATATTTAATTATTTTAATTAAATAATAAATTTAATATTTATATTAGAATAATAATAATTTAATTATTCTAAAGATTTCTTTATTTATATTATAAAATTTACTTTAAATTTCTATATTTTTGAGTTATATATAATAATTTATTTTATATTATTAAGTTTTATTTTTTTATCTTTAATGTAAATTTATTATTATAAATATATACTAAAATTAAAACTGAAATTTATAACTATTTGTAATAAATTATTATTTAAATTATTACTTTAAAATCATAATTAAAATATAAATAATATATAATAAAATAATAAAATAATATTTAATAATAAGAAATTTATAGTTTATTTATTTCTTATTAATATATTTAATTAAATATTGATTTGTAAAATTTAAATTAAAATTTTAGAAATAATTAATTAAATATTATTAATATCTTCTTTTAATATTATTATAGTTTTGATTTTTATCTTTTTTAGATAAATCTAAATTATTTAAACCTTTTAAGATAATATTTATTTATTTATTTATTTATTTAATACTTTATATTGATATTTAAGAATAAATATAAGTTTGGTAGAAATTCCAAAAAAAAGTTACTTTTATCTTTAATTAAATTTAACTGAATTTAAATAATTTTAATTTTCATTTGATTTATTTCTATTAATTTATTAACAATAATAAAAATAAAGTAAATATAAGATTTTTAAAAGATAATTTAATTGTAACCTATATAAATTATAAAAGTATTTATTTAATTAAAATACTTTAAATTTTTATTAAATAATTATAATAATAAATTACTTAAAGTTCATATAAATCTAAATCTTTTTCTCATTTGAGCTTAACAGTTTAAATAATTTTAATAATAATAAAATACAATTCTAAATAAGCAGATAATATGTAAGATTATAGATATGAATTTTATAAAATTATTAAATTCAAAGAAAAGCTATATTACAAATTATCAATATCAAGAATCTACAAATTTGTTTAAGTTAATTTACAGTATCTTATTTAATGATTAATGGAAAATCAGGTTCTAACAATTTTTTGATAAAGCATTTGAATCTAATAATGTATCAATGCAAAACCATTCGCAACCTAATTTATCTCATATATGAATCCAAAAATGTATGGATTTGACTTGCTGCTAATCAATTCTACATGAAATCATCAAAATTTTCATGTGTTTGTTCTACCAAAGGTTGTAGCTTCGTTCCTTTCATTTAAAGCTCATTTAGGTGAGTTAGGTGAACATTTTCAGCCGCATACAAAGTTCTTTATTTGACTATTTCTCCGATAAAAGTGAAAACCACAATGCGATGCAATAAATAGACTGCATCACGTGACGCAGGTTATTTCTTTTATGCAAGTGATCAGCGGCTGATTTTTAAAAAACAAATAAATTTCACCGATGCGCAAATGTTTTGTTAGAATGTTATCGTTATTGTCTTCCAAACACAATTCTTATTATTTTTTTTTAAAAAAAAAAGTTAAAAAGTGAAACTACAATAATGGAAGAACACTCTTTAGAAGATGATTTAGGACGATTACTAGAAAATCAAGACTTTCATGATATAACCATTGTGTGTTCTGATAAGAACACTTTAGGAGCCAGTAAAAACATCTTGGCAGCTCGTTCTAATGTATTCTACAACAAAATTATCGATCGAATTAATGACCAAAAATTTACTTACATGGAATTTGATAATATTAACTCAACGACGATGAAATTTATTTTAAAATATTTATACACGTCAAAAATACTTGAAGAGACTTTATATAATGTTGAAAATATTATTGAATTATATTACGCGGCAATTTTTTTTGAATTATCTGAATTACAAACGCAAATCGTTAAGAGCATGATTTTTCATATGGAAATCAATGGTGAAGAATTGGTCAAAAAACTTTTATCACAATTTGTTGTAAAGTTTCCATCTTTGGAAACTGAGAATAAAATGTCTCAACTATTAATCGAATCGGTAGCAAAAATTCATTTAAATCTAGAAAAAGATTCTTTATCATTAAAGGGACTGAGATATCTATTATGCAAAACGTTAAGTGCCAAAATACCTTTTGCTACACATGAGATCGATTTGTTTAATTGTGTTATCGATAAGTTCGATGAGGTTGACAAATATTCTCTTTTGCCCTATATCGATCTACGCCGATTTGATTCGGATACCCTTGTAAATGTTATTGAACCATTAAAATTATTTCCACAAGATAGGATTATGGATGCTTATCGGTTCAAGGCACAAGAAAATGGAAAAAATCTAAAATCTATTCGTGGGATTCCAATATTTAGGTGGAAGGGTTATAACAATAACGATTCATATAATAATTCTTTAAGTATTTCTAAGGATGGATTTACTTTAGAAGCAAGTAGGGATCTTAATAATTATGCGCACAAGACGACAGATTTTAGCATTAAAGGTAACGGAATATATAAATGGAGTATTTCGGTTGAAACTAATAGAACATGTTATATTGGAATATGTGAAAACACTCAATTACATAAAGCCGAGGATTACTGTGGTTGGGTTCTTGGATCCAGTGGTTATATTTATCACGAAAATGATAGTAAATGGTATGACGCAAAATTTAAAACAAATGATGTCGTCACCGTTATTTTAAATATGACTGAGAAAACATGTGAATTTTTAATTAATGGTAAGACTACTGGTGTTATCACCGGATGGGTAAATCTTCCTTCTGAAGTTTATCCATTTGTTTCGTTAAAAAAAGGTTGTAAATTACGTATTATTCAAGATGAGACTATGTAATTATTTTATTATCATGTACTTTTTCCTTTTTTTTTATTTTATAAATTTAACTCTTTAATAATCGATTTGAACATGACTAATTTGCTATTTATTGAAATGAAATATACCGTCATTTTATTTGCGGGAAAACCATTTTATCACAAATTTCTATTTAATAAATACTAAATTCTTTGCTCACTCCATACTGTAACTGATCACTGTAAAGAAATACAAATGCTTTATATCTTGTAGTGTTCCAATTATTATCAATTTTAAAAAATAAACTACCCACGACCGGATTATCACGCTATTTTTTTTTTTTTTTTGATAAAAAAAAAAATTAATATTCCTTTTTTTTAATTATTATAAAACCAAGGAAATGCTTACCACTTCTGAAAATACGGTATCCCCAAGTTCAAATTCGTCATAAATCTCAATAATTTCTACGATAACTTTATCTATGGAAGAATATTAAAATTTATTAAAAATTTTGAAATTCAAAAGAAGAAACTAAATATCACTATTTTATTTGGTTTACCAGAACTTTTGCATTCGTTACACCACCAACTAACGTTCTGTACAGAGCCTTTTTTCCATGGGCCCGGTCCTGGTGCTTTTATATATTTATTTATATTACATATTTTTGCGTATATGAATTAAAAAAATAATAAAATAATTAAAGCACATGATACCTGGAACATGAATCGTAACGTCGTCAGCCCGTTTCACTATTTGAGATGGAATAGTGATGACAATTTTCGTGAATAACATGAAAAAAAGCAATAAATTACACAATATCCTATTCATCTTGAGGATGTAGTAATGAGTAGAATTCCTCGTGTATTTATATGATTTTCGCAGATAGATGGATGAAAACGAGGTAACATCTTTTAAAGAATATTTGTTGCTAAGCTTTGGCCTTTGATAAGTGCAAAATATCTTCAGCCATGAGAAATATTAAATTCGCAGCTTAAGCCTCAGTAAGCCACAGTCACACGAACATCAGAATTGTCTTCTGGTGCAATATTCAATTTCCATTACAGGATTGATTTCTCCCCCCGTTAAAAGTTTTGATTCTCAATTTTTGAGATGCATTAATTACAATTATTAGGTTTTGGTGATTTTGAGGAATTAAATTATATTCCACGTGTTATAAAATAAAAAATTACGTTCCATTTTATAACGTTGTATGATCTGTCGATCGCAATTCTGCTATATAAATTGCAATTGGTTACAATAGTCACATCAGAAAATAATCTGTCAATGTGATTGGTTTAAAATATAAGCATTATCGTAACCACCAGCCTTTTCATGAAATTACAAAATAATCATATGATTCATTCAATTATAAATAGCATATCTTTTACTAATTAAGTTTTCCAATTTATAAATTTTTATATAAATAAGGTTTATTATTTTTTTTTACTAACGAATTAGATTCCTTGGTGTAGTTGGTTATCACATCAGCCTAACACGCTGAAGGTCGCCAGTTCGAACCTGGCAGGAATCAAACTTTTTGATTAAAATTCAATTTCAAAGTTTTGAAAGACTGCGGCCTTGAAATTTGCGTGCTTAGCAGGACTAGTGGTCATTAAAATCGATGAAATCAAATAAAGAACTTTTTTAACCTATCTTAAACCCGCATTTTTAAGTCGAATGACTAGATTAACCTAATCCCATTTTGGCAAATGGGAGGGTTTCTAGGAAAATCATGTTCCGAGAAATTTTTGACTTAAATTAAGAGCTTAATACATTTTAATCTAATAACATCAAAAACTAAAATGCAATAA